GAGAGAGGGAGATAGAAAGAACTATTATTTAAAAAGTTTTTCCCTACTATTATTAACTATCATTATTCCACAAATTTAAGTTATACATATTTTACATTCTCATTTAAATTTCGAAATAAAAGTATTCTTTATAGTAATAAGTGCAATTGAAGTAATGAGGAGCATGGTTTTGTGTCAGCAATATTATAAAATATTAAATTATATGTAATCACTTTTAAATGTCAAAAAATATCGTAAATTATCATAGATGATCAACAGTATATGCCTATCGAAACAATATAGAGTTTTACAGAGTCATATAGAGGCATGTTAAAATGGATATCCAGAAGTGAATTATCCACAAAATAAGCGACTAACGGTAAAGAAGACAAAGCAGAATTTATGTACCATACAACAACAAAAAGCACAGATGAATTAAATATATCAAACTGTTATTTTCATATAAATTTAATATAAAAAAACTAGATGATTATTTTATGTGATTCCAAATACAAAGAGAAAATGAATCTCTGAGATGCTGAAAGATGCTAGAGAGATAATATTTTTATTTAACTTTATATATAATAAAAGGGCGGATGCAACAATATATTATACATTAAAGATGAAAATTGAATTTTTTTATATAAATTTTATCAAGATACTAAGATCTATTAAAAAATATAAGTACTTCAAAGTTCATAAATATTTATATATTTTTTATATCATTTTTCATAAACTATTCGACATTGTTTTAAATTACGTGCTAAAAATGTGCAGAAGTGAAAATCTATTTCTGAAATAGAAAACGCATTTCATTTCCTTAAAATAAAATCATATGTGAAGCTAAAAAAAGCTTAAAAAAGATGTACAGAGATGATTGATATTATCTGGTATTTTTAGAAATTTAATTCCAATTTATAATGCAATAGTTGAATTTCTGAAAAAATAGTTGAACAAATGCATAATTAATTTATATATAAAATTTATCTATAAAATTCGAAAGCGAAAGCTGCAATATCAATACTTTCAACAATGAATATGGATATATTTTATTTCAAAATAACGAAAAAGATATTAAATTTATTTTTAATTATTGAAATGTAGAGTAACTCTAGAAGAGAAAAATTATTATAGCTACATACTGAAAATGGCAATTAGGATATAAAGAGTAAAAAATTAGTTAATTTTAAAACTCAACAAGATTTTTAAAAAAAATTTTATCTTTTCAAAAATGTTGATAACATCAAACAAATTCCTAAAGAAATTCTTTTGAAACCAAATAATTCATTCAACAAGATAGATTTCGGTATTTAGTTACCATTCCAAATAATTGATAAGATAATCCTCAAGTGGAAACGATAAATTGAATAATACATTAATATATAAATCTCAGTTTACTTGAATTATTATTTAATGATATGTTTAATGGATTATATATGTCAACTAAGCAACAAATGGTAAAAATATAAGAAAACAAATGAACTTCTAATAGTAACTATGTTAAAGTGAAATATAATCACGAAGAAGATACCTTTACTATTAATAATATACAATAAAAATGCTTGAAATCAACATTAAAAATTGTTTAATCTATATAATAATTAAAATAAATAATCTACTCACATATGACATTAAGATGATTGACGGCAAAGGGACTCAAGAGACGACATGCTCTACTCACTTTATGAAGCCATGGAGAGAATTCTTGAGGAATAATAACAACGATAAAAGAAAGCGAATGTGACTCAAATTAATAATTAGTTTAGTATTAGAATAATTTATCTAAAAGCACATGATAATTAAATTATTTTAATTGTGGATACAGAAGAAAGGTAGATAATGAATTGATGAGTGATAGTAACAAATAATTTTAGTTGGTATACCTAGATATTGTATTATATATTATACTTAGATTATTATTGGATTGGTACAGATATTTAGATGAAATAAATAAAATAAAATTTCAATTTATTTTTATATTAAATATACGCGATTATTTTTTGTACAAAACAAATATAATTTATACAAAAGTAAGAAAAAAATAATATACCTGAGGTATATTAGTCGAAACAGCATCATCAACATCTCTCAATCCAAGTACAGCTTGATGAAATTCGAGTAAATCATCGCCTACTAGCTTTTGTACAAAATTAGCAGGGACGAGTCCTCTTCTGCCATCAAGGGTTTCAGCATCCAAAAAGCCATCCTCATCTGGTTGTCCCCAGACCAATAAATAATCACCTCCCTGAACGGGTAGTTCTGCCTCTGGATTCTCATTAGGCGAGTGCTGGAAAGGTTCATAAGTGAAGCGCGCAATATAAACGTAACAACGACCTTTGCCCGGTATATCAAGCATATCCACCTGACCCTCAGGTACTAGGCCAGAATCACCTGAGAGTCGATCTATCTGATTGGTGAGAATGCTAGTTGGAATTTTAGGCATTTGACGAGGACCTAAGAAGTGGTGACCCCCTGTTGCAGTGTTTGTCGACGTTGGTGAGGTGGCACGCAAACTCTGCTGAATTTGTTGTATGATAGCTTGTTGCTGTAATTGATTTGCCTGGGACTGAACAGACAATTGTTGCATCGCATGTAGTGGATCACCTATTGCCTGCAGTATGCCTCCTGATCCTGAAATTAAAATAAAACTAATATAATATTTGATATTATTAACTAATCTTATTTCAATTAAAATACTTTATTACTCTTTTAATATTGATATTTTAATTTAAAATAAATAATTAAATATTAATAATAAAATTTTTATTAAATTTATTTAGATTTAAAAAAATACTTTGATAAAAAAAACTTTAACAAATCTTAACTTTTGACATAAAAACACATAAAATTTTTTTAATAATAATATGATCAGGTAATTAAATTTTTATGTACCATATTCTTTTATTATGACAAAATATATATAGATATATATAAATTAATCTTTATTATTTTCTTTAAAAACTACTTGACTGCCGAATACATAAAATTATTCTAACTAAAATTGAATTAATATATATTTAATATATTAATATGCTAAAAATATTTAATTTATATAAACGAATTAATAAGTATTTATAAAGCTATATAAAGATTAAATAGAAAAACGATAGAAATACTATACTACAGAGATAGTGTACACAGATTATTTTAATTAGTTTGTTTCTCTACAAAGTATACCATATATTATTGTAACTATTACATTCATAAAATATTTAATTACATCAATATATATATATATATATATATATATATATATATATATATATATTGATGTAATTAAATATTTTAAATATTATACATATGTACATTTTATTATATTAATTCTAATTTTCATTAATGACTTATAAAATAAATTTATAATATTCAATTTAAAATTTTATTAATATTTTTAATTTAAACTTCATTTATAATCTTTAATGGATGAAAGTTATATCAATTTTGCCTGAAAAATACTAAATCTAGATGTAGAAATATAACAACTAAAATTCTAATATTTAATGTTTATAAAAGTAACTGAAATTTCAATAATTTATTCGCAGAACAAATTCTTTATATTCATTTTAATATGTAGCTATTGTTATAATAATTAAAAAATCCCTCCTTAAAAGTTATTAAAATAAATGTGGGTATAAAATGATTAAATAAAATCGATTTAAAACCAAGGTTCTCCATAACTTAATAATATCAAATTCATATTCAAATGAAAAAATCTAAGCTCACCTGAAGAAACACTAGATGTCCCAAAAGCATTTGTCCCCACATTTGTGTAACACGTACCGGATGTAGAATAAGTAGTTGTGGCCGTCGAAAAAGGTAACACTGGTTGTGAGACACTAGTTAAACCAGGTAATGTTGAATGATACGATGTTGTTGAATATGGCGGCATGGTTTGAGGTAAATTTGTTTGCATCATAGAAAAATTATGATGACTGAGTTGACTGTCGTAATTGGATGGTTGTACTGAACTGAATGTGCTGTTTTGATGAGATGTCATCAATAAATTTGAATATGTTTTATTCTGAAATAAATTCCTCAAAACATATTGATATGTAGCTAATGATGATAGTTAAAGTTGTGTTTTTAATTTTAATTTAATTTAAAATTCATTATGAGTTATTATATTACAATTAAATTTAGTTGAAGGCTTAATAAAGCATTAAAGAGAATTAATAACAGCTCATAATAATCATCATATATAAAACATAATGCAGTTTACATATATATTATAATATATTATAAATTAAATTATATAACTTAAAATACTTATGATAAAAACAAATTTATTATAACTATCAATAATAATAAATATAACCATAAAAAGAAATTTTCAAATATCTACTGAGTTTATGAAATTATTTTAAGAGAATACTAAAAAGGATTATTAAAAAGATTTTAAATAATGAATTTTTAGTAATATTCAAATTATAGTAATTTTTTAAATAAAGTAATATTTAATTGATGATACTTAAACAATGAAAAAAATTGCTAATTAAAAAAGCTGTTGCTATACAAAAATAAAATATATAACTAGAACATCAAAAATAAAATGAGTGATTTTATTAATTCTAATTAGTAGTAGAGTAAATAAAGATAAATATATATCACTTTATTTGATTTAATCAAACTAATATAAAGAATACAAACTAATAAGATAAAATAAATTTTTTTATAGTAGCTGAAATTGTAAAATATATGTTTATTATTTTGTGTATTAATCAAATTTTTTTAATAGTAATTTTAATCAATTCAAAATAATAATTTATTAATGTCTTTTACTACATGTTACAATTAACATCTCTACAAAACTAATTTATTTACATTTTGTGAAATGGTCTTTTTATGATTATAAATATATATATATACTAATAATATTATATATTTTTATATAAATGTCCAAACTTTCATTAATACATTCAGAAATATATAGGAAGATAAATAATTAACAAAAAAATATAATTAAAAAACACAATAAAAGAAAAGTTTTTATTAACAAATATTTTTAACTAATGTTTTCTTACTTCTTTTGAAAGATTTTTTATATGAATGACTAGATATAAAAACTGATTTCTCTGCACTTTTATTCATATGCTATAAGATAAAAATAAATATCTTATATGATAATTGTTTATCACTTTGAAATAATTAAGAAAAATTCATATAAAATATTTAAATGATAGATCAATAAAATCATTATTTATTGAAAATTGTTAGTATTTCAAGAATTATGTAAACATATAATCTACATTTGTAGATTGAAATATTTTTATTAATAACATGAATCCTACCTGCTTATCGTTAAAATCATCACTGAGAAGATTATTAAATATATTTTCGTAACTAACTCTTGTTTACTGTTTATAAAATTTTAACAGTCATTATTCTGACCTGCTGCGCTCCATTCATTTGATAATTCTGAGAAGATAATCCAGGTTGACTATAATGAGGCAACGTGCTTTGGCTAATTGATGTCAGATAAGAAGATGATGTTGAGTGTTTTTGTTGTTGTTGTTGATGCTGTTGTTGTTGCTGCTGCTGTTGTTGATGCTGTTGTTGCTGCTGTTGTTGTTGTTTATGCTGCTGCTGTTGTTGACTTATCGGCTGTTGATAAGTTTGGGAATGTGGATAGTTTTCTTGATACTGATTTCCCGTGTAGTGGCCGTGCGTCAATTGTGACTGTTGTTTCTGTGCAGTAGTACTCTGTATTTGTGAATTGGTAATATCCAGAAGCTTCTGCTGTTGTTGATATTGTTGAAGCTTTGACTGAAAAACTGGCTGAGATTGGCTAGTAGACAATGCGGAAGGCGCTGGAGGTATCGCTTCATTGTAGTGATATGGAGGTCCATTCGGTGTTAGAGCTGGACAACCCGGCATCAAAGGTGTTAAAGGCATAGGTGAACCCGTAAACTAAAAAAAAACACAAAAAGTAGTAAAATATACTTCGTTATATTAACTCTTAATACTTTCATAATATGACTAAAAGAGTTCCAGATTTACAGTTTAAGAGTTAAAAAAAAAATATATTATAGATTTAAAATTTAATAATTGACAAAAAATTATATATTTATAATTTATAATTAAAAAATTCAAATAAAAATATATTTTAGGTTCATAATAAGTATATTGATAATAATTTTCGGTAATAAAAATTTTCATCTATAATTATTGTTATATTATAATAGGTTATTCGAATTTAAATAATTAAATTGTAAATATTAAGTAAATGTAAATCAATTTCATTAATTTATTCCTTAAAATTTAATAAAAATAATAAATAAATAGATATATTTAAACAAAAAGGAATGAACATAAAACAGAGAGAGAGAGAGAGATAATATTTATAAACGTACATGTGAAATTTGTGAAGCTATTCCAAGACTGAGAGCATGTGGATGTGGGGGATGCTGATGTGCAACAGTTGAAAGGTTTTCTGTGCTTGAACGCAAAATATTCTGAGACATGGATGGCTGCTGCGTTGTAATAGTACCGTGAGTAAGATCAAGATCTTGTAATGTTCTTTAAAAATAAATATTTAAAAATATGTTAAATTATAAGTAATACTTAACATTTTCTTGTCTCTGTTTCATTCTAAACAAAATTATGATTATAATTTTCTATTAGAATTCATTTTTTCAACAAATTAATTATTATAAATATTAAATATGAAATTAATTTAATAATTCTCTAAAACTAATCTATCTTATTACATAAAAATCAAGTGCCATAAATATTTAAAAATAAAATAAATATATGACAATGCAATTAAATATTTTTAAGGTTGATGTAATTAATGATTAATGTATAATAAAACAATTAATAAATAAAACTTGGAAATAGATATTATTTAGAATAAATATATTTCATTATTATTTTTAAAAATTTTTCTGTAATATATTTTAGATAAAAATAATCGTTTATATTTTTCAGACTATAACAATTAAAATTATAATATTGAAAATTAAAAAATTGTGAAATATGCATTCAGAATCTAATTATAGACATTTACATAGGTATATATACGAGAATTTATATAGCAAATATTAATGAATTTAAATAACATTACTTATATAAAAAAAATATTTCAAACAAAATAAAATATTATAAGATCATTGATTTCAAACATTTATTTAAAAATAAATTATATATTAGAAATTGTATAATAATTTTTATGCACAATTTTTGTTAAGAAAAAATTTGTCATTTAATAAAGTTTAACTCGATATTTAGTAGAAATATATAAATCATATGAATTATAGTAACTATATATTATATAAATTCATAAATTCAGACTTCGAATGAAAGCAAATCAGATTCTTCTTTTTACAAAACTAGAAGAAATTATTGGAAAAATATTTGTATATATTCTTTAAAACATACTTTATACATTATCTAAAACTTTCATAAAAAAAATATAATTTGTAGAACCTTTTGAAATTGTCGATATATTCAGTTCAGATTTTTTTTTTATCTGAAAAAACAAATATATAAAGTCTTTTATATTATAATCACATTTCAAAAATTCTGCGTATCCTATTCTATCCTATCATTATTTTAATGAGTATTATTTTAATGCATCTAAAAGCTTTACCCCTTTTCAGAATCCAACCAAAGGTTATGGAAACAACTGAATATCAATATTGTCTACTTATTTGGTGAATAAAAGATAATTTAATAAATCGATCCATAATTAAATAATTTGTAGTCAATATTTTTAAATCAACGTCAAAGAAGTCATAATTATAAATTTGAGAGAACCAAAACTTCCTACTATAATTAAATTGCATGAATATTTATATGTAATACGAAACAAATTCCTGATAAAAATAGAGCCGTATATGCGATACCTGTTCTGCTCGATTTTAGACATGATTCGATCGATTTCGGAGCCCACAAGAGGCCATGTTGCAGTGGCCACGCTAGAGTTTGTCAAGGTGCCAGTGTGACCTAGTGTACTTGGACCACGATTTCGAGCTCTCTTCAGGCTGGTCAATTCCAGGCTGAGCTCCTCGTGTCGAACCATCTGCAATTGTGTCTTTTTTTCCAATTCGCGAATCTGTGATTGTAAAGCTTCCACGGACTCAGGCCCCTGATAACATCCAGCGGTTTTTTCGCGTAAGTGGTGTTGAGCTTCCGCATGTTGACGCTCGAGGTCGGCGCGACGAGCCTCCGTCTCCCGCATTTGCTACAATAAATCATTCGAGTAATTAATATTTATCTATAACATATATTTTTTTATGTCTTTCATTTACGATGGATTAATTATATTTATTTTCGGCTTGTCATTTTTAATATTCTTGAGCCTATAAATCTGAAAATAAAAAATTCCCATAGATAACATGAGATTCTCACATACTAAATGTGAGTATTTTTTTGTAAAATGTAATTAATATAAATAATTTTGATACTTTATCATAAATATTTTTATTATTACGTTCGATTGATATTGTATTGTATCTAACGAACAAAGAACTGTATAAATAAATAAAATACAATCATAAGGTGTATAATATTATGTAAATAACACATATTAGGAAGATTAAAAATTGTCTGATATATCATATTAATTAACACTTTGTATGTATTATCTTATAAAACCTTGTAAATATTTTATAAACTTGATTTTTGTTTATAATCAAAATTTTGTAATTATACTTAAAATCTATCATCTGTGCCATGTTAAAATTAGTAGAACATATTGAATAAAATATAATTTTCACTTTTTTTATTAATATCATAAATGTTTTATGGTATAAACTACAATTGAATATAATTATTAACTATTGCCAATTAAATATTTAAGTGAATTAATATTACAAGCTATCCAGACACGTTTAAATTTACAATTTAAATTTATACTAATAAGGTTAAATAATGTAAAAAAATATAACTGAATTTACTTTAATTTCAAAAATTTAATTTGATCAAGAAATGATACGACAATGAATGTATAAAGTAAAAATAGAAGGCATAAATTATTCTGGATAGATACAAGAAATGTGATTAAATAATAAAAAATATTTTCATTAATAATGTAAAAAAATCAAATATCTTTAACAAACAATATAATAATGTAAATAATATTTTGACATAACATTAAAGCTTTACTTATTAATGTATCTACATTTGTTAAACAGTGTAAAAACTATAAAATTATAAATTCATATTATTTTTTCTCCTTTATCAATTTATTTCAATGTTATCAATATATATTTATTATATTTGAAAGACTGAATGAGGTTCGCGATGAAAACCGCGACATAATAAGGCTATAGTTTATTATAAATTTACTTCTCTTTATTTAAACAACATTATGTATCAAACAACTGCACGTAAGCCATTTTTTTTTTTTTTTAATGATGTAGTATAATAAAATCTTCTGTGGATCAACTTTTAAGTTGTCAGATAAGTTCGCTATATATAATGTATTAATGATGCCGTTTAAATAATAAAATATATATATATATAGAGAGAGAGAGAGAGAGAGAGAGAGGGAGAGAGGAAGGAGCTTGTAACATATCTGAAAATCTGAAAGCGATTCTAATATCTTTTTAAATCTACTATTTTACCAAACAATCAGCCAATTTTAGTTATCTTACTTATTTCATAACTTTTTTTTCATTATAAATAAAAAAATTTATTAAAAATACAATAACTGTAATAACTTTTAAAAATAGATGGATACCCATTATTATTTATTCATTGTTATGTTATCATTCATTGTGTTATATTCATATAACAATTCATGGTATATTCATTGTTACCCATTACTATTCATAAAAAAATAAAACTAAATACTTTATTTATGCGATTAATTAAATTTGAATAAAAAAATCAAAAGATTTGCTGTTCAAGATCCAATTAAAATAGATATTATTCTTAAAATTATTAAATAATAGATTAAATACTATTTTTCAGATTTTTTAGAAAAAGTTTATAAGACAACTATCATTCAATTTTTAGAAACAATATGTATATTTTATCATAATATGTTATTCTTAAAAATTTTTAATTAATTTCATTTAGAATAATTATTTTAAAAGAAAAAATTCTAACATTATGAAATACAATCGACACCGAAACACGTTTTTGAAGCTCGTTGTTTCATAACCAATTACCTTGGCATGATGAAATAACTATATCATGTTAAAAAGAAAGGATTTTTTCCGAGAAAGACTTTTTTGCCTCTTATTCTATGTATCCCAATTTATATTCTAAATTCAAATGAAATGTATTAAAGCATTTTTTCATTTTCTATCTTTCTTCTTATATCTGTATGTCAACATCTCTTCTTTTTCTCCATTAAAGAGTATGTACAAAACAAGTCATTTATTAAATGCAAATTCCTCTATATGTTAAAAATTTTATATCAAATTCATTGAAAAAGTCAGGTAAGAGTAAATTATTAATATTTAATTTACAAAAATATAAAATTACTTTTTATTTATAACTAGATGTCTATTGTATAGTATTCACTATTATCTACAATATCTAATTCTAAATTATATTTTTACAGTCAATATATTTTCATGTTATACAAAGTAGTAAAAAATTAATGGAACAATTTCTGTGATTTGTGTAAATACTGTATAACAGTTGTGGCTTTATTAATTCCCAAAAAGCTTATAAATGCGTGCTAGTATGTAGTAAATTAATGTAAATGGTAAATTTTATTACCTCAAGAATGTTTTCGAGCACGGGGTCCTGCATGCTCGTAATACTTCTGGTGGAAGTAACAGCTCCAACTGTACCAGTAATTCCAACACCTTGGAACTGAAAATCCTGTAGTGTCGCAGAAGTGGCACCACCAACGCCACAACACTAGACACACACAAGGTAGACACTATAATCGATTATCATAAAATTATATTGTACAAAATTAATATTATTCTTACTTCCACCTATTCTTTATAAAAACAATTACTAATTGTAAATAAGCTCCCAACTAACAGGATCTATTACTTACATTTAAATTTATCTTATTGCAGTTTATAAATACACTAAATAACTGTTCATGATAGAATAAATAGGAATAAATATATATGGACTATATATTTGTACTATATAAATACTTATAATTACTTTGTATATATAAAATTTTTTTTAATTTAACTTTTCTATTATAATAACTATAAATGCACATAGTTTATGAATTTAATTAATCATATAAGCTAACATAAAAATTTTATAACATAAAAAATGTATTAATACTTATCATATGCTACTTAAGGATTACAAATAATAATTAAGAATCAGTCGAAGATTAAGTATTAATTCAATTATTAAGATATAAATTAAATTAAATTAAAATTAGTTAAATTAATTAAAATGTTATGTATAATAAAAACATTAAAACTGCAATCAAATATGTAGTTAGTAATGAATGAGATATGTAAACAAAGTAATGTATTAATGGAGTTCCAACATCTTAAAAAAATCTAAGTTTTAATGAAAACATAATATAAGAAAAATTATCATAATTGAATGAGTGAAAGAGTCAATGAGGGTAAGTAAAAAATAGAAAATAATGAAAAAAAGTAAATTGAAATCTGACTAAATAGTATAATCATCAAAAATATCTAATGAGACTTAATATTTTAAGTATTAAAAAATAAATTGGATTTATAATGTCATATTTCAATCAAATTAAATTAAACAAATTATAATAATTATAGCGGAAGAATATTTTTAATAATAAAATTTATAAAATATATTAATTGAATAATAATATATTTTCATTTACAATAATTCTAATAGTATACAAATAAGTGTAAATTCTATTATAATAATATTTTAATATTTACATATAATACAAAATATTTATATTATAAAATAATTAATTTTAAAAATTTATAACAAACACTAAATTGTAGTTTGAAAAATACCCTAAAAAATAGTATCTCTTAAAATTATCGTAATTTAATTTTGTATTATATACATTTTTGGTTTTGTATTCAACAAATTACTTAAGTAATTTTTCATAAGCTAATTAAACTTGTTAGTAAAATATATTAATAGAAAGTAGATAAAATTACCTTAAATATTATTAACTACCTGAATACAAAAATTAATAAAAACAATACCAACAGTACGAGACAAATTTACTAGAGTTAACCGAAGAAAGTACATTTTATATTACTATTTTATAAATATTATTATTATATAATACATCATATATATGATATAAGCATTTCATATACTATTATCTTTTATAAATTTTATTATTTCTTAATTTACTATCTTAACTCACATTTTTAATGAAAATTTTCGTAATCCTTTAATATTATTCAACATCGGTTTTGTTCAATTCTACTATCAAATACATCGGAAAGTTTCATGCATATTTAAAGCTATTAATATGCCTTTATTTATGTATATTTTAATAATAAAAGTTATCCTTTATCCCCCATTCTGATGTAAACATCAATATTAGTATGCAAACGATTCCAAGCACAAGTGAATATTCAGCAAAATGGCTTCATGCGTCCATACCCTTAGAGATAAAACAGAATCGCCGATTTAATATGATATAGACGCACATCAATGCACAATAAATTGAATAGCGGAAAATTCTCAAATAACAATCTTCACTCTTATACACCACAATCCTGCAGCATGTGATGTAGCATATTCCCGAGATCTAATATAAGTGGAACAGTTGGACCACCCTCCCCGCCACTTTTGCGTGGAGTGCTATAATTGTACTGCTTATTGATCCTCGACACTGAAAGTACGTGCGCCATGCTCCGTATATACCCACGCAACGATCTAGTTATATATCATACGGCCCACAATCCCGCTACTACTACTACTACTACTACTACTACTACCGCTACTATTACTACTACTACTACTACTACTACTACTACTACTACTACTCCTACTACTACTACTACTGCTGCTAGTACTACCGCTAGTACTACCGCTACTACAGACGGCTACTAAACGGCAAAAATGTAAGAATTAACAAAATTTAATAGAGAATAAAGGGAAACAATGAAATGAGACTAACAGTTCACATAACATATGATAGGTTTTCTTATTATTAATACCTATTTCCTAATCATGTAGACATGATTTGGTAATTATTTTATTCTCTTTTTCTTTCTCTTATAATCATTATCTGTTGTTTAATTTATTTTCAAGTGTTTGTCATTTTTGTTTTTCTTTACCTTTCACTTATTGTTTGTGCAAAA